TACTAAAAGTTTCAACGTGTAGTGCTGCTCATAACCTCATATTATACGTAAAGATATGACAACCTTATATAAGCTTAGGTACCTAACCTCATCAAACTACGTCATTTTGCATTAAATTTTCATTGCAATCATCCAAGGTTCTTAAATTTCATCCGTAAACTTGATTTACTTCAAAAAAAATTTGGAAATTCATCATTATATTTCTCATATATCCTTTCATTTGTAGCGGTAGGATATGAAGCCCATTAGGTGGTATTCGATAGAAAGATGTGATGTAAAAGAAATATATTTTTGAAAGTCCAAAGATTTTGGAAGCAATCAAGTTATGGGGTTGAAGTTTAAGAACCTTAAGCAATTACAATGTAAATATGATACAAACCGATGTAGTATTATGGAGTTAGGTACCTAAGCTTATATAAGGTTGTTAGGTATATTCACTTTACCCTATATATATATATATATATATATATATATATTATACTTAAATATATGACAACATGAAGAACTCTTATGCTAAATGATATATATATATATATATATATATATATATATATATATAGAGAGAGAGAGAGAGAGAGAGAGACTTTCCATGTAACTAAAGACTCCTTGATGTTAAGGAATTGTGTTTATGGATATACCTAGCTTGTATGTTCATCTAGGATTGATAGGTCTTTAGTAATAAATAGTCGATAACCATCTTTGTGAAGGTTATCCATCAAGAGTGTGTTTATAATAAGAGTTTGTTCTCTAATATTTCTTGAATTTTTTGAGACTAATTCTTATAACTAAAGTTTTAGTTTCAAAGTATTTCTACTTTTCATTATTTGCTTAATTGAATCGTTAAGTTTGGGACCAACAAAACCTTATTGTCAACTCCTTGTCGAACTACTTGAAGAGGTAGGAACTAATATCATTTTCATGTTTGAAGATAGGTACTGATTTCTTCTAAAGTTTTTGAAGATGTGTCAAATTTAAAACCCCATTTCTCACCACCAAACACTAAATCTTAAAGGAATGGTTTAATTTGTTCTTGAAAAAATAAATTTCATCCATTTTAGTCTTATCTTCATAGTTTTTGGTGAAAGTTTTGAATTACAAATTTGGTGATCCACTCCTAACTCAGAAGAGGTATAGTTACCATGTACTTATATGCAAACCAAGATCCAAAGATACCTAATGGATTTGGCCTTTTTTTCTTAACCGACTATACTTTGATGTTTAAGGGGAAACATTGTAATTAAGTTGTAATATTTTCACGGATTTGATAAGATTTTCTCAGACTTTTCTGTAGATGTAAAGCTTAATTTCTGATCCTATCTTAAACCCTAAAATTAGGGTGAAAATAACTATTAACTGAAATATTGATGGTGGTTGGTCTCTTAATAAAATAATAAATTAAAACAACATTGTAACAAAAAAAAATGAAGACAAAGATAAAATGGTCATTTGAGAGAGTATTGAGATTGAAAAGAAAAGAAAAGAAAAGAAAAAACTTATTGTTTTAATAATTTAAAAAAAAAGCCAATAAATATAAACAGCAAATGTTTGACACTTTTAAAAATAACCTTTTACCATCCTAAAAAAATATTTTTTTATAAGTCATACTTTCATGAACTTTTAAAACAAGGGAATATGACTTATCAAGCTAATTAACTTTTCGGTATGTTCACATCTGGGTAACTATCTTTTTTTTGTATATATGTAGGTAACAAACTTTTTGGAAGTGTTCACATATGACCATTATGATCTGCTATAGCAGGTTAAATCCTAGATGTGAACTCTTTCAACAAGTTTGTTACCTAGATGTGTACAAAAAAAATAGTTACCCAAATATGAACAAAATGAAAATTAAAAACTAAATTACATGAATGGTCCCTGTGGTTTGGGGGAATTTGTGGTTTTTGTCCCTAATTTATTTTTTTAACTTAAATGGTCCCTACTATTTATTTTTGTTGCGCGTTTGGTCCCCGTCTTACCTAAAAATACTATTGTGCCCTTATTAATTTATTTTTTAATTAATTTTCTTATCTATGTGTTTATTTTATACATATTTAAAAAAATTAATAGACCACACACATTTGTATCTCCTCGGATGATCTTTGCTGTTTATTTTTAATTAATTTTTTTTTAACTTGGATGATCCTTACTGTTTATTTTTGTTACGCGTTTGGTCTCTGTCTTATCTAAAAATACTATTTTTCCCTTATTAATTTTTAAAATTAATTTTCTTATTTATGTATTTATTTTTTATAAAAAAATTAATATACCCCACATATATGTTTCTTATCACCGTAAACCTGAAACCACATTTGAGAAATTTAATTTGAGTCTTACCATTCACCATTTCATCTCTGATCCTCCCCATTTTCTATTTCTTTTCCATCTTTAGTAACATCAACGTCTTCACCGTCCTTTTTTTTTTTTGGTACTTCAACTTTGGAGAACCAACACTATAACCTACTATCTCTTCATATTTAGTGGGTTGTAGTGTTGTTTCGACGGAGTTGAAGGACCGAAAAAAGAAGTGATGATGAAGACGTCGATATCACTAAAGATGAAAAATAAATAGAAGTTGAGAATGATGAAAGATGGGATGGTGAAGAGATACAGATATGTGAGGCCTACTAATTTTCTTAAACATATAAAGCATAAGTACATAAACAAGAAAATTAATTAAAAAAATTAATAAGGGCACAATAGTCTTTTTAAGTAAGATAGAGACCAAGTTCGTAACAAAATTAAATAGTAGGGACCATCCGAGTTAAAAAATTAAATTAATTAAAAAATAAATAGTAGGGATCATCCGAGGAGATATAAATATGTGTGGTATATTAATTTTTATAAATATGTAAAAAAATAAACATAGATAAGAAAATTAATTAAAAAAATAAATTAATAAGGGCACAATAGTATTTTTAGGTAATATGGGGACCAAACGCGCAACAAAAATAAACAATAGGAACCATTTAAGTTTAAAAAAATAACTTAGAGACCAAAACCACAAATTCCCCCAAACTATAGGGACCATTCATGTAATTTAATTTTTACTTTTCGTTTTGTTCATATTTGGGTAACTATTTTTTTTGTACACATCTAGGTAACAAACTTATTAAAAGTGTTCACATTTAGGATTGAACCTGCTATAGCAGGTCATAATGATCATATGTGAACACTCCCAAAAAGTTTGTTACCTACATATGTACAAAAAAAAAATAGTTACCCAAATGTGAACATACCGAAAAGTTAATTACCTTGATAAATCATATTCCCTTAAAACAACTTATAAAAAACAAAGATTAAAAAAAAAAAAAATAAAAAAAAAAATAAAATAAAAAAATACCCGCGTTAAAACATAACGTTTCTATCTTAGAGCACACATAATAGGTTTTCAAAACCTTTTTCAAACAAAAAAAAGACTCTTGAAAAATGAAAAACTTATAATAAGAGTTTATTTATTTATTTATTTATATATTTTAATTCAAAGCTTTTTTTACTTGTTAATTAACCAACTCTAAGCCTATAACTTTTTCATTTCTTGAATGGACCCATAAATTTTAACTAATTAAAAGTACAGAACATTTAAGTACTACTAATAAAAAGCAAAAGATTTCCTATTTTGAGTGATATAATAAGCTTTTTCATTAAAAAAAATTATGTAAAAAACTTCCTTGCGGCAAATGCTCTTAAAACTTATTATTTTTATATAAAGTATTATATGCAAAAATATTAAATAGTTTTAAATATGTAAATATGCCTTTAGGTCATTTTACATATATAAACTAATCCAAACAATTTAAATAAAAGTATCAACTTATAATTTTTGCCACTATATAAATTAATACAAACATTTTCTTAAAAACTTATATTTTCTTAATCACATAAACTAATAATATTTTTAATCATATAAACTAATAACTATTTTTAGAAAATATATATTAACTTAAATAGATCCCTTACACTTATTTAACAAGACTTTCTTAAGAAGTTAGAGTTTTTTTTTTTTAAAAGGAAAAATGATTTCAAATGACAACCAATAATATCATTTTTTTTCAGATCATTAAACTTTTAATTATATAAAGAAATCAACTTTTTTATATTGATTTTAAAATACCAACAATTATGATTTTGATCGATTAAAATAACAACAAACATTATCATTTCCTTGCCAAATCTAACTAAAAACCTCTTTATAATCATTTTTTCTCAAACCACAGCCGATAACAATTATCAACGACATATTATTTTATGACTTTACCATTTTTATGGATAAAAACATTTATATTTTAATTTGTGGTTTGAAAAAAAAAATGATTATAATAAACTATTAATTAGTCGTGACAAGGCAATAACAGTGTTTATTGTAATTCTAATCCATAAAATTCATAATCACTGGTATTTAAAAAAAAAAAAAAAAAAAAAAATTAGTTTGATTATTATATACAAATAAAAATTTAATGACTATGATTACTATTTTTAAAACCATAAAAATACAACCTATCAATATTCTAACAATCAGACCAAGTATACGAATGTGAACAAACTACATGGATTATTTATGTAATTTAGTCAATAAAAAACGATGTGTGGTATCATCCAACCTATAATTTACTCTATTTTTATAAGTTGCGTATATCCACGTGTATGGTTCACATGACCAGCTCAGCTGGGAGCTATATCGTTTTCCCATAGTCGTCGATGTAACACGTCAGTGCTGATGAAATACCCCTCATTTCCTACTCGGAAAAGCACAACTCACATGGGCTTTTTCGTCATTTCCTATTATCATCATAACCTCTGATACGCGTTCCAATGGAAGCGCTGGGCCCCATATTCCATCACCACCATTATCGACCTCTGCTTCACAAATCACAACCTTTACGATAATCCCCCCATCTCTCATCCCCCCTCTCTCTAAATACACCCCTTTCTCTCTCTAAAACCCCCCCGATTCCTTCATCCGCCGGACCACCACCACCACAACCAACGTTTCTCTTTTTGCTATGGCTCAGAAAAGAGAGAAAGAGGAGACGGAGCTCAAGGTTCCTGAAACTCTAACCTTGTGTACGCCGTCGATCCCCACAGCTACGTCGAAGATAACCGGTTCCGATGAGCATAGATCGTCACCGGACAGATCGGATCCGAAGACGGTTGTTGTCGTTGACTCTAGATCGAGCTCGGCTAGCTCGCCGAAAAGGCCGGATCTGCTTCAGAAGCCGCGTTTGGAGACGGTGGAGTCATCGGAGGACGACGTCAACAGGCTTAAGAGGCGTGAAGTGAATCGATGCTCGGGTTGTCGGAGAAAAGTCGGATTGATGGGATTTAGGTGCAGATGCGGGGAGATGTTCTGTTCCGATCACCGGTATTCCGATCGACATGACTGTAGCTACGATTACAAGGCCGCCGGGCGGGAGGCGATCGCTCGTGAAAATCCAGTGGTTAGAGCATCGAAAATCCTCAAGGTCTAACGCCATAACAAGATTCAAAACGACATCGCTCTACCAATCGATCAAAAACAATCAAACGTGTTTGCATCTCAGGGGGTTAGAAATATGGCGCCAAGCTAG